AATTTGCTTCTGTGGAGCATAGCAATACTGAGGAGTCCCCCCTTTGCCATTGGACACTGCACAGATACCCTTCCTCCTCCTCTCTACCTTTTGAGTCACAGAGTGAGCAGACAGCAGACGTTCATGTAATTGATAGAAGGAACGCTTTCCTCGTCCTGACTTCACTATTTCAGGAGCTTTATTGTAGTACAGCAAACATCCGACTTCCTGTTTAGGAAAATGAGCCTTAGAAGTTTTGCTAAAAATAACTGCTGTCAGATAAATCTTCTTGTGACCTTGGGTTTTTTTTTTCTTTTTGCCACTACTATGCTACCTCACATTCTGAGCTCTTGCTGCAAGAGCTCTCACTGCTTTGACTGTTATAAAATAGGAATGGGCTAGGAGCTAAAAACATTTAGTACTTAAAAAACCTCTACTGTCTGTTAGAGTTTACCTGCAGGTTGGCAGGTCAGGTCACTCCACAGCCAGCCAAATCGGTGAGTCCCCCTGCAGCAGCTGTGCTTACTCCACTGTTCAGAAATTATTATTAGAAATTGTTACCATTAAGAAATTAATATTTTCCTTTTTCTTCAGCAGCAACTTTGAAATACAATAGAAGGTTTATGGCAAAGCCTCTAAGCCAGTTTAAATTACTGGAATTCCTATAAAGCAAAAGAATTAATACTGGCTGCCGATCTGCCCCTGTAGTTACACCACCTGGATGCTGAGCCATAAGACAGAGCTCTGTGTTTTCTGAGATCTGCCACAATTAAGCAGTTTAAAGATTTTTCAAGTTAAAACTTTGTTATCACTAACGAGGTTTTAGTTTTCCTCCCTGTGCCTTTTCCTTGGTGATAATCAGGAGGTTATATTTGAATTCACTTAAGAACACAACCCTGCTGTTCACTGGGAGGTTGCTGCAGCATCTGGCTCCAGCCCTGCTGACTGGCAGGGAGCAGTCCTCGGAGAGGGGAGGGGAGTTCTGCTTTCTGCAGGGCCTCGCACCCGTCCCGGGGATGCTGCTGTGCTGTCATGGTTAAAAAATGTTGGCTTTGCTTTTGTTGGTCAATACTGCAAAATGATTCCTGACGTTCCTGCTGTGTATTTTGGGAGAAATCTGTTTCAGTCTTGGACTGTGCTTTTAATAAAAAGAAAAAAAAAATGCCTTCTATCTGAAGAGCTTAGTTAAGATTACATTTGTGTAATGTATTGGTTTGTTCAAGGAAATCTCAAAAAAGGATTAGATGTGAGTATTGAGTTTATCAGGCAGGCTTGTGTCTGGATTAGATTATAATTGTCTTCCATTCAGTTACTCAAATATTTTCCTGATCACTCATCAAGAATATTACGTTGTTCCCTTCTTCTTGTGGTTTCCTTTTGCTTCCTTGTGGCTGGAACTGTAATTTTCCTTCTGATAAAAGCTTGTGGCTTTCATTTAGTTTGCTTACACTAACTGAACAGCACACAGACACAGACACTGAGATGTTGATTGCTTAATAACTGTGAAATAAATCTATCCATAACACCTAAATACATGCATGGATATGGGTATACGTAGGCATCAGAGCAGAATGCTGTAATTAATGTCACTTAATAACTGGATCTGGATAACTGGAACACAGTAACTGACAGTGGTTACTGTTCGGATGTCATCGTTGCCATTTTATTTACACAGGGGCTGCTGGAGTCCTGCAGGTGAGGTAGGGCAGCGCCAGAGTCCTGCTTCTCAGCTCAGGCTAAGGCACGTAACCTCTGAGGGCTGCCCAAGCCACTGGAAAACACTAGTAATGCTGAACGTCCGCTGCAAATGGAACTGGTTTTCATCACTCGCAGTCAGGCTGTGGTGTGGGAGCGAGGAAAGGAGTGGGACAGATATTCAGGGGGATGCATCTGATGCTGGCATTTCTGTAGGTCTAGAAAGGGACACAGACCTTGAGACCCTCCGTGTCTTGTAGGAGTCTTTTGCTCTAAAAGTGAATACTCTATTTGTCCTGGGAACAAAATGAGTCTGGGTAGAATTACCAAATTATGATAGAAAAAGAGTGGGATTGCAGTCCTCAAGCAATTGGGTAGAGCCAGCTGGTTCATTTTTCCAGACTCAAACTGCTGTTCAGGGTTGTGATGGTTTTTTTAGGATAGTGGCGATATTTGATGAGTTTTGCGCTGAATTAATTAACAACATAGGTTATGACTGATCAGAGCCTGTCAAATTATATCTGAGAGGACTGGGTGTCTGCCTCCTACCTAAGTTATGACCCTCTGTCAGGGTTAGGTGAGAAGTGGGTGCCCAGATGAAAAGATCTGTCACAACAGCAGCAGTTGTGAGCATGCACAGTAGCAGAACCCGGAGAAATTTACTGGCAAAAACACTAGGAAAACAATCAACTTGGAAATAAGTTGTTAAGATACAGATTTCATTATTATGAAGTTATTTTTGCATGCTTTTGCATCAAGCTGTGGCCTGCACAGGCATTTCAGTTTAGCGAAATGGAGCTGCTTATTTCTCCTCTGTGTCATCAGTGATAATACGGAACAGGAGCAGCTATGAAATGAACTGCTGCTCTGTCCAGGGGGCAGGCTCCAGACCTCTATCACTGCTCTCTGTTAATGAGCTGGTATTATTGCTGGACCTGGTGATGCCATTGTCATTTGCATCAAAAGAAGTTGGATTGAGCTTTGGTGCACAACACGATACCTTTGCAATCTAGGGCAACTGTGATTTAATTTAAGTTAAAAAGTTTTCAGAGAACAGTTTAAATGAAATGTCTTCATCTATTACATTTTCTGGATTTTCATTTTTTCATAAATTTTCCACTACCCCTGTGAAAAATCTT